TCAAATCATTTTTAGGCACAAATGCATAATAATTTCCCAAATGAAATGAAAGCGTGACATATAGGAAACGTTCTTACATCCCGTGTACTATATAATTAAATTACGCTTCGATCAAATATGTAATTTCTCAGACTTGTATTTCTCTGCGCAGATCTGGTCGAAGTCCCCTGATGAATTTGTTGAACTTTTTGTCAGGGTTAATGTAGCAGACCTGGTCGCATAGATTCTTGAAGCCTATAGTGTAGTCCTGGACCGATCCGAATTGGCGCCACGTGCGATGGCGGCCACACACTTGACTGTTTGTGTTGACGTGTTCGAAGCGGCGATGAATCCCCGCGCACCACGATTGCACATGTTGTACTCGTCCACCTCGCAATAACTTCCAGCCCAGAAATTGGTTGCGCGAAAATGCCCGATCACGTGCGGTATCGTATCAGACTCAATCCATAGTCCATGGAGCGACACGGCCCGATCTACGACTTAATTATCTGCTGCCACCAATCCATAGTCGGTCCAAGTAGGAGCGACACGGCGTATCGGATTTTCTGCGCGTCGTCGTGGACGAGGTTTCAGTCGTAAGTGACATTTAGGTGAAAGATCCACCCATTGACGGACAAATTGTTACATTGGCTCGGGTCGAACGTGGATGGCCTCTCCGTCTTGAGAATTCCTAGCACCATGTTGACGTTGGCAGTTTGCAAGCCAGTCAGAGAGGTAATTGGAGGCAGTAGGTTTACGTTTGTTCGTCCTTGGCAGTTCACAGTTGGCATGTTTACGTTCGTCCTATCGCCAACTTCCGCCCGTCCAACAACCGATGGCAGGTTGTTCGTCGAACCCTCGGTTGAGCCGCATATGGTCGCTGATTGTCGCCAGGTATTGCGGAACGCTGCTGGGCTAGTTGCTCATGTTGACCTTGATTTGTCGTTGGTGCTATTGTCGTCGTGTCGTATTTGCGGCTGTCGGCTCTGAAGTGAAGATAGCTCAGATTCAGCTCGGGGCCTTTCAGCTCGCAGACGTGCCAGTTCCTGCTGGCACAATTTGTGAGTAAGAGGGACTTCATTAAGTGATGCCGCCCTTTCTTCAGGAGTTATGGCGGTAGACGCCGACAGATCCACCATTTTGCGGAAAGTTTGGGCGGCTTTCGGCACGCTGGCACTGCGAACACTGTCGTGGCTGTAGACATTTTACGATAAATGTTACGAGGACAGCGGATATGCAGTATGCATAGGGCGTCAGCCTCCATAAGTATCGATATTGTTGCGTAACTAGAGCGCAAGGCTGAGGGTCGTTGGCTCTGATGGCCTGGTGCAAAGAGCATGGGTCGAATGATTGAATAACGAGGAAACAATACAACTCAGGCAACTTCAAAACAGTAGGGAGCATGGATATAGTTAGTATAGAAGCACACGGTCGTGGCTCGGCAGAGCTGCGACGTGTGACTCGTAAATTGGCGCGAAGCGCCCAGATCTAGGCATGCAACAGCAAGGCGGGCGATAATGCATGCGGCTCATCATGCGGCCGCATTAGGGACCGCTTAATGGCAAAGCTGCGCAGTAACCTCGTTTGAGTAATGTACGCATTCTAAAAGTTATGATAAGGAAATACCATTGCCTTATAGTCAGTAACGGTTCACTCACTTCACCCTTTTGTGCACCATTGCGTGCCAAAAGAGATTTTGTAAAAAAAAACCTACAATCATTCTTTATACATTATAAACCCCCACAATTTCCGAGTCTGAGGTAGAAATCACGCGACCCCTAAGAGCTTCTTGCTTTTTTCACAAGTTGTGACACATGTACTAGGGATTTCCTACCAACCCTTGTCCCAAGAGGGTTATCAAATGAGAGATTCCAGAGCTATTTCCAGCTGTCTCCCTAGTCCCGATGCAGTAAGGGTACTTCACTATTACTCCTAGCCCGCGGTATTTTCACACCCAGTATTTTCACAGGGGGTGCCGTCGAGAGGGTATTCACTCCCCGAAAGCAGCTCCCAAAGACCAGATTTTGATACCCTTGAAAAATAATTTGAACCTGGGTTTCTATACGAAACGTTTCCTGCTCGATTTAGTATTTCTCAAGTTAGGAAACCCGATGTCGGCTTAGGCAGTGCTAAAAGTTGTTGCCCACGTGGAGTCATCGAAGCTTAGGCCGTAGGGACAAGGTGGTACTGTCTACGCACTCAAAAATGGTCAGGGTGGAGACAAAAATTCTTCTGCCGCCCAGTTTCAGGGTGTAAACTACCGCGGGCTAGGTGTACCAGGGTGCGGCTGAAGATGATTTTGGGTTGTCGGAAGGAGTCACTGACAAGGCAATTTCTCCTGACTAATATGAATTGAAGTGGCCCTTTGGACGGACCTGCTGTCTTCTCCGCTAAGTCAAGGCTTTTCAGATGGACCTGTCGCATCTGTCTTGCCTTGTTCTGTACACAGAAACAGTCAACTACAGTCGAGGCTCTTGTGACATCTGTTTCCAGCATGGCGGTGCCTCTGGGTACAGTACAGGGCAGTTTCTAGATGAACCCATGGAATCCCCTTGACCAATCGACCAGCACGTTTATTCAGTCACCTTCTTTTGTGCATGAGGGTTTATGGCGGGTGCAATGTGTTAGCTGCCAAATCTCACCGGGCCCCACTAAACCCCGCCCCCTCCCCCCCCCCCCCCCCCCACCCCTGGATCAGCCTCATGGCAATCCCACTCCTCTCTTTCGCCCCTCCCCTAACCCGGGCGCCTTTCGAAAAGGCCCTAGTGTCAGATCTCAGGACATCAAGATTTTCCAACCAGCACTGAATCCGAGTCTCATGACTCACCCTTGTCCCTCGTTTTGGGCGAGTATCGATGTCCGAGTCAGGGAACGTTGGGAGAGGCACTCTTTCTGTCGGAGGGTCCCGAAAAACTAGCAAAGGCCATGGTCCGAGCCGCCCAGAGGGCCTTGCCATGCCAGCAAGCGCCCTCATTGGATGCTTTATGTTAGAGTGCAGCGCGTACATAGGAGCTGGAATTCCTCCTCCAGACTGTTGCTTGCTGGTGGAAGAGAAGTGCACAATGCTGCGCTGGCCGTAAAGCCCTTGTCACTTTTGTGGTCGGAAACAGGGCTGAAAATAACAGGGTAATCTTCCTTTATCGACTGAAAATCAGAGGAGATGTTTTTCAGCGTAACCCGTATTTCGCATAGGGGTTTTCCAGCCAGACCGAACTCACACAGGGGGGAATTTCGCGGGATCCGTACTGACCCGGGGGAATTCCAGGGCGACCCAGACCTTTTTCCACCCGCCCCCCCCCCCCCCCACAACCAGAACCCCCCACCCCCTTTTTTTGGCCTCAACTTTGCCCCTGCCCCAACTCTCCGCCCTCCCCAATTCCCTCCCCCAAATCTTGCCCCACACCTCTCAAAGCCCAGTACGTTCGGGAGCCCCCCTTGCTGGAAGCCGGGCTTATCTCATTCTGATTGAGTCCCCCTGTTAGGTATGTGAGTTACCCTTCTCTCTTCCCCACCGCCGTGGCGCCGCAGGAGCGAGGCCGAACCCGCTAGCCAAATCGAAGTATTGGCGCTCAGGCCCTTTTCGGCTCGGACCCTGATTCATCCGAGCAGTATTTGGTTCGTCTCGGGGTTTACAGGGGTTTTTAAGGGGACCAAACCGTCCGAGCTACCAAAAAACCTACCCCAGGCCGTGGTCAGAAAAGTCCAGGAAAGGAGAAGGTGACGCGGGGTAGGCGCATGCACAGTGAGCAGAGAAGGTGAGTCAGTGAAAGCCAGAGTTGAAACAAAAGTCGCCCGTGGTTACACATGAATAAAATTTACACAAATTATGCTTGGTTTGGTTTAGTGGTATGGTAAGGCAGAAATGGTATCAATAATTGGATCAAGGCGAATTTGTGCAGATCAGATGGAGCATGAATAGGATGAGTACCCCCAAATAGGATGTTTTTTTCTAATAGAGGGATTCACATAAATTATGGGGAAGCATGTCGGGAAATTGCTCCCCCGCGGGCCAGCTTGCTCGTCTGTGCGTTGGCAACTGCTCCCAGCCCCCCTGCATGTCGTTTCCTCGTTCAGGTACGCCAGATCACCCATCACCGTTTGTCAATCAAATTCCCAAGTTGAACCTCTGCAGTTCTACCTCAGCAACGTCCCTAGTTCCCTTCTGTACCTGGCCGCGTGCTGCGGCGCTAACCCGTTCGGTTCGGTGCTTCTTAGGGAGTGTCCAGCGTGCTCGTTGACTATTCACTTTGCGTATCAGGTTAAACTTTTGACCTGGTAACTCGAAATTTCGTGTCCATTCGGACACGCACGATAAATTGACCTTTCTGGCGGACACCCTCCAAACGTACCCACAGACGTGGGCCGCACGTTTCCGAACCGAATGAAAATCGTACCCAAATTATATACACGGCAGAAACTTCCAAATCCTGGCTGGCGAAAAATGAAACGCTTACTTTCGCCAGGCTTTCGTGACGCTTGCGAATCACGGCGAATAAAGCGGAAGAAGAATTGGAATTCGTCCTGTGTTTCTGGGTTTCTTTCCTCTGCCGAGGGGGAAATTGAGCCCTCCATTTTTCCCCCCTGGGTGGAGTCACGGCTCGTAATGCGTAGCGGGCGAGGCCTCTTTCCAAGGGCAAAATTCGGCTACCCTACTGTTTTCGCGTGTCAGTCTGTTATGTGCGCGCTGCGCACCCGCTCATTTGTCGAGAAACAGGCGGGGCTCGTGTCTGCGCGTTTTGCTGTTGATCCTGTAAGTGTACCTCAACACATTCACACTTGGCGAATCAATATTTCGGCGTGTTAAAAAAACGTCAAAAATTCGTGTTGGGGCAAAATGAACGCGCTGGACACGCCCTTACAACAATAGCTGCGCGATTACCGCTGCCGAACCAGACTCTTGATTCCCCGACCTGCTTAGGGTGTTTGACTTTCTGGACCCGGGTGTGGCAAAATCGAGCATCACTTTCAGCCCACCCCATAGAAATGCTCACGCAACCTCGCACTTCATGAGTCACCTAGTCAAACTCTCACGCAACCTTTCCACTCTTCCCTTCCAGCTCTTCTAGGTTCGCCGTCTCGAAAGAACTGCGCTTTTACTTCCACTAGGCCATCTCGCTCTACTAGAGTCTCTCCATCGTGACGATGTGTCACGCCCCAGTGGGCCCATACCCCGTCGGGGCTGCGTCAGCCAACTCGGAGTGGATGCAACGGCCCGTTGCTGGGCACCCGGTGCTGCCGGCGTCGGAGGGCATGATGTCACTCCACCAGAGACGCCGTCGATTTACGCGCCCGACGTGTGTCATAGGAACCGCCGGCGGGGCGGCGGAGCGCAGACTGAGCCCAACGGATCAAGACGCCGCAGAATCTTCCCCGTCCGCCGCGTCAAACGCCGCGAATTGCGCGAGCTCTCCTGCTGAAACTGCTAGGAGCCCGTCTGGAGCCGCCTCGTGGCGGCCCGGAGCTGTGCCAGTTCCCGTTCGCAGCCCGAATGCCGCAGTCGTGCGACGACGCGCATTTTCGTCTCTCGACATGGACCTCGAATGGGGAGCGCCGCAGCCGGACGCCGCCGGCCGCGGGAGCTCGGCGCCGCGTCAAACGGATCCGCCACGCGGCGATATCATGCGACGTGGGCAATCACTCAGCGCCGACAGCACTCCCGCCCCCATGACGAGATGCTTGGCGTCGCCAACAAAGCCGAAATGCGGCGGGCCGGCGGCAAACCGCCGCGTGACCTTCAATCCGCTCGTTCGTGTTCGCGCTATCCCGCCACGACTGCCGCCTGCCGTCGCCAACGCCGCCGTAGAAGCAGCCTCCGTTGCTACGACAAATAATTCAGCTCCCCCGGCGCCCCAAAAGTCGGGGCTGTCATTTGTTCGAAGGAACATGACCAACGCGCGGTCCAAGGCGGCTTTGAGCTGCCGGGTCGAGGGGGAATGTCGACTGGAGAGCAATCAACAGGGTGTACTCGCACCGTGAAGCTCGCTGTGTAGACTTTTACTATTATTATAATATTTAGCACACGCAGTGTTTTTCAAAAATTGTGTATTGTGAAAGCTAAACTGATTGTACTGAAGCTTTGGGCAGCGTCTAAATGCGCTACTCACCCTTCTCCAACTAAAAATATGTGGGTTGGAGCTCATTTACTAAAAATGAGAACGAAGCCTACTGCAAATGACAAGAAAGCAAGCTTTCTTAATGTTCATATTTCCATATCCTCTCCTAATATATTTACCCCATTCCGCACGAAGATCTTGTTAAATTATATTTGTTCTATAATTGTAGGCTTTGTAGGTGTTACTGAACTCAACTGTAGAGGGTAAATCGTTAAGACTAGAAAGAATGATAACTAGGAGTGGGAGGAGCCATTGAAGTGGCTTGGGGTTTTAGGCTCGGCAAAGTGTTGAGAGGGAAGGAGTCTGGACTAGAAGAGGAGATACCAGAAGAGGGGTAGTCCCTTCTACAGTAGGATACAGTAGCATAACCAAGCCTACAATTATATATAAAAATATATAATTTAACACACCCCCTAGGCTTGGTAGTGGCAAGCCCATCCCACCCCCAGCATCCCCACATCCTTGCACCCCCATTCCCTGCAGCAGCAGTGGCGTCGACCAGCCGGTCGACCCCTCAGCAACCGAGGTGGCGACGTCGACGGCGGGTGGCAGCGACGACAGCGGCGTCGGCGATTGCGGCGGCGGCGGCGGCAGGCGGGCAGCACCTGCGGTGGCGGCGTCGATGCAACTGGCGACGGTGGCTGCGGCACCCGAGGCAGCGGCGGCGTGGCTCAACCAAAGACGACGAGGGGGAGGACAGCACGAGATCGCCAGCAGCCTGCAGCAGAGGTGACTGCAGGGAAGGAAGGCGCTAGGCATCCTTGAGCTGCGGCGGGGCGGAGCCGGCTAGCGTGGCGAGTTGGGACCGACGCTGCGAGCTGGGAACGACGCGGCGAGCTGGGTCCATTGGGACCGACAGGTGTCACCATATTTGTCACTTGAATAGGCCCACAGAATTTGGGTCGGAGCTTGCTCGGGATCGGCAGCCGCAAATTGCGAGTGTCGAGTAGGACGAGATCTCCCACTTTGTAAGTGACGTGACGGCGATGGCGATCGCTTGTCGGCTTGCGACCAGGTTGGCTTTCTTGATTGCCTCAGCTGCTTTTTCTCGAGCGGTGAGAATGTCTTCAGGAAATTTCTGGGACCGAGGCACGGGTGTCTCGATGTTCGGGGTAGAGGGTTACGGGGTCCTGTCCATACTTGAGGAAAAATGGGGATTGATGGGTTGTGGCGGAGGGCGGGTTATTATACGCGAATTCTAGCGGAAGGGATTTCTCCCATGTTTGGGGGTCAGTACAGGTAGTCCGAATGAGTTTCTCCATAGTTTGGTTGATTCGTTTGGTCTGCCCATCGGTCTGGGGTGGTAAGCGGAGGAAAACTGTGGTTTGGTGCCGAACTGGTCCCACAGGTGGCGCAAGAAATTTGATGTGAATTTCGGGTCTCGGTCGGAAATAATGGCGGTAGGCAGTCCATGTAGTCGAATGACGTTGGCGATGAATAGTTGGGCAGCTTACTTTGTTGTAATCGTCTGTTGGCAGGCGATGAAGTGCGCCATTTTTGTGAGTCGGTCAACGACCACGAGAATGGCGTCGTTTCCGCTGGGACCGGCTAGCAGTCTCGTCACGTAGTCCATCGTGATGTGTTGCTTGGGCGGATCCAACGGCTGGAGTAGTCTGGCTGCTCGCTGATGAGAGGATTTCATGATCTGGCAGGCGGTGCGGGAGGACACGTACTTGCGCACGTCGTCGGCTATGTTCGGCCAATAATAGTTGCGCTGCAACGTCTTCATAGTTTTGTCGACTCCGAAATGCCCGGAGGTAGGGTTATCGTGGGACTCCTGTATTAAAAAGGTACGAAGTAAATCGCGCTTAATAAAATAGTGTCCGGTGGCGATGGTAGGCTGTTGATGGATAGCAGAGCGGAAGAAAGGGTCGATTTTGTAGCCGTGGGTAAATAGTCTGGTAAGTAGTGGGCTGGTCTGGGCGACTAGTATGGCGGCGGTATGGGCAGTGGGTCGAGTCAGGGCATCGGCAATATTGTTGGCGCCCCATTTGTAGGTGATGGTGTAGTGGAAATTCTACTCGAGGAAATCGAGCCATCGGATCTGTCGCGGGTTGAGATCCGGTAGGGCTCGCAGGTACTGGAGGGATTTGTGGTTGGTCCGCACTGTGACGTTAGCGCCTGTCAGGTAGCACCGCTAGGTCTTGAACGCGTGGACGATCACCAGCATTTCCTTGTCGTGTACCGTATAGTTTTTCTCTGCGCCCTGCAGCTTCCGTATTCGTAGGCGACCGGCTGTAATCCGTCGCCAAAATCCTGTAGGAGAACTGCACCGATGGCGATGTCGTTGGCGTCGGTGATGACTTCGTATGGATGGTCCGGATCGGAAATGCTAAGGACGGGTGGCGACGTGAGGGCGATCTTCAGTTGGTCGAATTTAGCTTGCTGCTTCTCTTCCCACCAAAAACAATCGTGATCTTTGAGTTGGTCAATTAACGAGGCAGATAACCCAGCCATATTGGGGACAAATCGGCGAACGTAGTTGACGAAAGCCAAAAAACTTTGCAGCTCCTTGATGTTGCTTGGCGGCTTCCACTCCTGTATGGTCTTGATTTTCTTGGGGTCGATTTTCACTCCTTCGGTAGAAACGACGTGGCCCAAAAACTCCAACTCCTGCTTAAGAAAGTCGCACTTAGACCCTTTCGTGATGAGGCGATTCTAATGCAGCAGCGTGAAGACTGCATCAAGATCCTGAAAGTGTTGCTCCCTGCTGCGGCTGTAGATTAGTATGTCGCATTTATCCAAGAGTTCCCTGAAAACGCCGTTCATGGTCATCTGGAAGGTCGAGGGCGCATTCGTGAGGCCAAAAGGCATCACCAGGTATTCGTAACTGCCGTAGCGGGTGCGAAATGCGGTCTTGTGACAATCTTCAGCGGTGACGCAAATTTGACGGTAACCCCCTCGCAAGTCGATTTTCGAGAAGAACTTGGCTCCGCGAAGTTGGTCGAGTAGTTCGCCGGCTCGCGGGATCGGGTAGCGCGACTTGATTGTGACTCTGTTGAGCGCGCGGTAGTCGATGCATATGAGGAATCCTCAATCCTTTTTCAGTGTGAACAGTATCGGGGCGGCGTATGGGGACGCTTCTGGCCGGATAAATCCCTTCGTCAGTAGGTAATCCAGCTACTGCTGCAATTCTTCCAGTTCTGGTTGGTTGAGCCGAAATTGTCGCTGTACTGTCGGTTTTGGGCGCCTGGTTCCAACTCGATGCGATGGTGTTCCGGTCGGCTTGGCGGAAGTCCAGCGGGCAGGTCGTCCGGGTATTTTCGAATCAGGTCCGCTAAATCCAGAGGTTCGGCTTCGCACAGTTTTGCGATAACTTCGGCTGTTGTCGTCGATGGCACCTCGCGAAGATCAACGGCGTACGCTGCAGCTTCTGCTTTTATCGCACACTTGAACGTTATCACATGGACTTGGGTGCTTCCCATGCGAGGTCCCGTCCATTTCGGTAGCTTGCGGGAGATCCCATCGAGTTTTATGCTGCAGCCGCCCGTCGTCCAGTCGATCTTCGGGTTGTACAGTCGCAGCCAATCCCGTCCCAGCAGTACATCGCACCCGTCGAGTGTAGTCGCCATCAGCCCCATCCGTAATTTTACGTGCTCCCCGCAATGAAAATCGGCGTTCTCCACTCGCTGTCGTATAGCCAGCGGTGTTCTCCTCTAGTCGGGCGTCAATTTCGGGTAGACACTTGAGTAGGGGAATACCCAAATTTTTAGCCCTGTCCAGCCGTATGAGACTGTGACTCGCGCCTCCATCCACGAAAATCTTCAGCAACACTCCGTTGACTTTACCCTCCACCAACACAGGGTGATCAGCAGTTTCGTCCCCCTTATTCGTCCGGGTCCGGTCGATTGCAGCAATCGGGATCACTCCGGTCGCTCCTCCGGCTTCTTCCCCATAGAATTCTAGATGGCTATGAATTCTTGGCAGTACCGTCGGATGTGACCCGGTCGGCCACAGTGGTAGCATAGCCCCGTATTTTGCGGAGCAACTTCATAAATATCCACTGCGTCCACCCCTTTTATCGTGGCACGCTGGTACTGTTCTCGAAGGCGACCTCCGTCGTAGAAGTTCGTCCTCGACTTCGTGAGCAAATCAGCGGCTTCGGCGAGCTGGATGAAGTCTTGTAACCGCTTCGCAGGGCGTTGCAGTTTTATTTGGTACTGTATTTCAGGCTTCAACCCGCTCATGTACCTGTCGACCTTCTCCAATTCGTGCATGTAGTCACATCTGTCCACCAACGTCAAGAATGACGCGGTGTACTCGGACACAGATCCCAACTGCTTCCACATGCGTAAAGTCTCGCGCGCTTTGTCTCAGTCAGGAGCATGCTCAAACCGCTTGCGAAGCTCTACGCACCACGCTGCCCACGTGCAAATGTGGGTCGCACCAGATAGCAAGTCTGCCACGTCTTCGTCGCCGAATTCTTCGGACCACTCGTGCTGTCCTTCCATCATTGTATGGCGGCCCCTTGCAACAGTGTTAACGTGTGGCTGATCCGCTTCTGATCGTCTCGAATGCCCGCCGCATTTCATGGCGAATATCCACTGCCGCACCGTCACGCCTTTATTAGCTGGGTCAAAAGGAGTGGGTTGCTGATATCTCACGCCGCCACTTGTCGAGCGCGGGGCTGTTGCCGCTAGTCGTGCCAGCTCCATTGGTGACGGTTGCTGCTCACCCGCCTCGCTTCGTGCATCGTCGCCCGGCTCCTCTGAACGCCTTTCCTGCGCCTGGCGAAGTCGTTGGTTCTCGTCGCGGAGGTTGTTGACGACGCTTGTGAAATTGTTCAATTGCTCCATTCATGCTTGCATGTCCACAATTTCCCGTGCAGAGTTCGCAGCAGTCGAGGTCGTCTGTTCCTCAAGCGTCAAATCTACTGGGGCCATGGCGGTCAGGACGGGGCAGAAGCTAGCGCACACCCTGTAGTTATTGACGTAAAAATATTTACGATCGAAGACAACTGCTGTGCAGCCATGCTAATCCTCT